TCACTGTGGATGTTCCTCAAATTCCCTCGGTCTTCAATCTTGTAGTGTCTGATTTTCTGGTCTTCCAGCCAGACAATAAAGTTCCTGAATTCTGTTTCATCTGTTGGGAGAGGGAAACAAAGCAGGAATTAACCAATAGCTTAAAGGCACAAAGAAGACTTTAAGTTTTGATCCAACTCATACAAATGCTGATGCCCCTGAGTACTTTTACCATAAAAAAAAAAATATAGATATTTCCATCTAACACTAAAATCATGTATCCCCTGACCAATAACCAACCCTGAGTGTTTTTCATCTTTCAAGTCACTTCAAACTGACTGACTACAATAAAAGGCATCAGCCAACAGGTTGGTTTTGTTGGGAATACCATTATAATTTATCAAGCAAAGAGGAAAAGTGAAAAAATGAGAGAGAAATTCAGTTTCTAGCTCTGTTTTCCAGAAAAACAAGACAAAATTCCTCCCCAAAAAACACCACACAGATGTCGTGGCTGCAAAGGCATTTTCCTCCTTTACTGTTGACTCAACTCTTCTTGCCTGTTGATTCAAAATCTCGTTATTTGGGAGCTGGAATTCCATGTACAAAGGCTGTGGTCCACACAGGGATAATCAGATTGGATGAAGCAATTGGTCTGTACCTGTGCTACGGTGACAGAACCCACTTGTGGACACAGCAGGTCACAGCTTTGGCTGTCACCAGCCCTCCAAAACCTTTTGGCATCGGAGGAGCTTTAATCATGTAATTCTGGAATGGTTTGAGCTGGGAAGGACCTTAAAGCTCATCTCGTTCCACCCCCTGCCATGGGCAAGGACACCTTCCACTATCCCGGGTTGCTCCAAGCCCTGTCCAGCCTGGCCTTGGACACTTCCAGGGATCCAGGGGCAGCCACTGCTTCTCTGGGCAACCTGTGCCAGGGCCTCACCACCCTCACTGTAAAAAAATTTAATTCCTATTTATAATAAGAAACAGAGACACGGTCACAGCACACAAAGGAAACCTTTGAGTAAGACCTTCTAAATTTTCTAAACTGGCAAAACAAACCTTCTAAGCGAAAAAAGAAGAAACTGTTAACCGGGAGGAACGTGGGACACGCAACAAAAAAGATGCGAGCACACAACATCCCAGTAAAACCACGCGATTTTATTATCATGTTGCAAATATTATCGTGTCCTAAATCCTGCGCTGCAGCTCAGCCCTGAGTCCGGGGAGCTGCGATGGGAGCCCAGCAGACCCTTAACTAGCTTATCCTAATTAACAGACTAGAATCAAGAAGTGGTTTGGGTGGGAAGGGGCCTTGAAGCCCGTCCCGTCCGCAGGGACACCTTCCCAGACCAGGTCTCTCCAAACCCCGTCCCGGCCCCCCCTCAGTCCCTCACCCCTGCAGTTGAACCCGGCGGGGTTGTGGTAGTCGAGCGCCGAGAGCTTGCGGCGGAACATGGTCCCGGTGATCCGGGTGATCCCGGTGATCCCGATCCCGGTTATCCCGATCTCGGTGGTGCCGGTGCCGGTCCCGCCTCCCCCGCTCAGGCCGCGCCGACGTGACGGGCCCGAGCGAAGGAAGCGCCCGCCCCCGGCCCCGCGCTCCGCTCACCCATTGGCCAACGCGCTGAGCGGCAGCCGCCGCGGCCAATCAGAGCGGCGGAAGGGGCTGCCGGGAGGGGAAGAGGCGCTCGCCCGCCTTCAGGGACACGGCGGGAAGGGGCGGGGCCAGAGAAGGGGCGGGGTCACAGGGATAGGACCTGGCGTGGTGGGCGGGGTCTGTTGTGGTGGGCGGGGTCTGTAAGGGGGAGGGGCCTGTGCCCGCCGCAGTGCGAACTGGGGGTGTGCGCTGGGCTGTACTGGGAGCCGTACTGGGAATGTTGGGTACCTGTACTGGGAAGCTGTACTGGGAGCGCTGGGGAGCTGTACTGGGAGCGCTGGGGAACTGTACTGGGAGCCCTGGGAGCACTGGGGAGCTGTACTGGGAGTGCTGGGAGCATTGGGGAGCTGTACTGGGAACACTGGGGAGCTGTACTGGGAGCTCTGGGAGTGCTGGGAGCACTGGGGAGTCGTACTGGGAGTACTAGGGAGCTGTACTGGGGGTGCTGGGAACTGTACTGGGAGCACTGGGGAGCTGTGCTGGGAGCACTGGGGAGCTGTGCTGGGAGTGCTGGGTACCTGTACTGGGAGCACTGGGGAGCTGTGCTGGGAGTGCTGGGTACCTGTACTGGGAGCACTGGGGAGCTGTACTGGCAGTGCTGGGGAGCTGTACTGGGAAGCTGTACTGGGGATCACTGGGGAGCATTGAGCTGTACTGGGAGCACTGGGGAGCAGTGTGCTGTACTGGGGGTCTGTACTGGGAGTGCTGTACCAGTGCACTGGGGAGGAGCTGTGCGTTTTACTGGGCAGCACTGGGGAGCAGTGAGCTGTACTGGGAAGAACTGGGAAGCACGGAGCTGTACTGAGGAGCACTGGGGAGCAGTGAGCTGTACTGGGCAGCACTGGGCAGCACTATGGAGCATTGGGCAGCACTGAGCAGCCCTGGGCAGCCGGCAGGGGAAGGATGCCAGTTTAAGGGGGATTTTTGGGTGCTTTCCCCTGGAGAAGGTGATGAGCTCCGGTTGGAAGTGAGCCCACCCCCGTCCTCCCCCCCCTCTCCCAGGCCGGGGTGGCACTTTGCAGACGTGGTGCTGACAGCGTGACGAGCCAATGCAATCAGTATTCATCCTGACATTTCCCTCCGTGCCAGCCCTTCCCAGCGCTCCAGCTGGCAGCCCCCGGCTGCGGTGCCGCGATGGCAGGGTGGCACAGGGATGAGCCAACCCCTTTCCATGGAACTCCCAAGCCCTGGGGGAACCTGAGGGGCTTCTGCCTCCCTTTCCCTTTAGCATCATTCCTCTTTCATTCGCTGTATCTCCTCCAGCTTGTTCCTGGAGCGGTTTAAGAAGGGCAGGGGCTCCCTGTCATCGCTTCCTCCTTCAGCTTTCATGGAATCATGGAATCCTGGAATGGTTTGGGTTGGAAGAGACCTTAAAGCCCATTTCATTCCACCCCCTGCCATGGGCAGGGACACCTCCCACGCTCCAAGCCCCATCCAACCTGGCCTTGGACACTTCCAGGGATGAGGCAGCCACAGCTTCTCTGGGCAACCTGTGCCAGGGCCTCCCCACCCTCACAGGGAAGAATTCCATAAATCCCACCTAAATTTCCTCTCTTTCAGTTTGAACCCATTACTCCTTGTCCTGTCACTGCCGTTCCTGGTTGAAGGTCCCTCTCTGACCTCACACCTGGAGCCCACGAGGGCTTCAGCGTGTCACCAATACGTGTGTAAGGAGTGACATGGAAGTGACAGTAAAGGCACAAAGACTCCAGCATGGATAAAAGAAGCTTGGGACTGTCCCCAGGGTGCCCTCAGCCACACCAGTGTCACACACTGTCCACCCCAGCAAGGAGGACCAGGGATGGATGCAGTGAAACCTCTGCTCTCCACCCTTCCTCTGCCTCTCCTGCCTTCATCACCCTCAGAACAGCCCTTCCCCTTCCTACCTCATCCCGTTTCACCCTGGATTTGGGGATCATCCCCTTCCCTGGTGGGTCCAACCCTTCCTGCAGCAACACCCAGGGCAAATCCATGCCCAGCAGCTGCAGTGCTTCTCCTCTCCCCACTCCACGCTGCAGAGCTAATGAATGCAATTAGTGCAAATGGGTTTATTCTCATTAGGGACCCGCCCAGGGCCTGATGCCGGTGTGGGGATGGGCAGCAGTGAGGAGTGCAGGGAGCAGCATCCCGCCCACGCTCTCCCTGGATGCTCCACACCTCCTCCAGCTCAGCAGATGCTGCTGCTCCGGAGTGAGGATGGAACGGGGTGAGCATTGGAGATGGAGGGGAGCCAGCGAGGTGTGAAGCAGCTGAGCTGCCTGGCTTGGCACAGCGAGCAGGAGACAGTTGGCTTGTTCCTTCACAGTGACACCATTTCCCTTTCAAGCTGTTCTGATGGACACAGAGAAGGATGAGAGGCTGAGAGTTGAGCCCTGACAGTGCAGGAGAGAGGGGGGACACTTCCAGCATCTCGGGGTTGGGCAACGTTTTGCTGCTCGCTGACGTGTTTGGAATGTGGATGGAAAACTGGAATCCGTGCTGGGCTCAGTGCTGGTGGGTTTCATTGCAAAACCCATCCTGCCACCTTGTTCCCGGCCCCAGGGGTGGGCTGAGGCCAAGCAGCCTCAAATTGGGTCTGGCTGCTTTGCTGGGAAATCATCTGCTCATGAGAGTCCTGTGAAACAGGAGTGGAAGTGCAGGGTGTGGTAAATTTGGTAGGAGCAGAGTATCTTCGATTCTATGATCAGGAGGTGTTTTGGCAGTGGAACAAGTAAGAATTATGGGATCATAGAATCCTGGAACGGTTTGGGTTGGAAGGGACCTTAAAGATCTTCCAGTTCTGCCCCCCTAGCACCTTCTGCTAGACCAGGTTGTTCCAATCCCCGTCCAACCTGGCCTGGAACACTTCCAGGGATGGGGCAGCCACAGCTTCTCTGGGCAACCTGTGCCAGGGCCTCATCACTCCCACGGGGAAGAATTTCTCCCCAGTATCCCATCTCACCCTGCCCACTGTTGGTGTGAAGCCATTCCCCCTTGTCCTGTCACTCCATGCCCTTTTCAAAATTACTGTGGAATGCCTGTACTGACTGCCAGGGATGAGAGAAAAAGGAAAGAGAGCGGAGAAGGGATGGACAACAAAATTAGAAATTTTAAGTACCTCTCAGTTTCTGAGGAAGGAGCAATGTCCCACCCTGAAGGAGCCTGTTCTTCCCTGAGCTGGCTCATCCTCTGGGAACAGAAAGCTGTGTCTGGGAAGGGGCTGAAACCCCAAGAGGCTTCATTTTCCCTCGCAGACAGGCACCAAAACTCCTGTCAGGGAGACGCCCGCCTCCAAACCCAATGGAAACAGGATCCAGCCGCAGCCAGGATGGGAACCCACCTCCCCAGAGGGCAACACGCACAGAGAATCATCTCCAAAGGCTTGAAACAAATCCAAAAGTTTATTTCCAACGAGTACACAGACCACGTGGGATGGGGGATGTGCTACATCACGACGCCGACCTCCCCGCTCCGGCTTCCTCTCCCAACCACCCCTTCCCCAAAAACCTGGCAGTGGCAGGTTGGCACCCAAGGAATGGATTTCCCCCGCCACCAGCAACCTTGGCAGACAAAAAAAAAAGTCCTTTTCCAGTACTCCAGATATATTTTTCTTTAAAAGCCTGGGGGTTGAATGTCATTTGATACCACGCTGGAAATACAGCATCGGGATGGAGGGATGGCTGGTATTTTCATTGAGGAGGGAAAATGATCTTGGCAGGCGATCTCTACTTGGCTAACAAAGGCATATCTGTGTAAATATAAATACTGGGGTGAAATACCTGGCAGCACACCAATGTCAACACCTCTACCAACATAAAATAAAGCCCAGCAACATAAAACACCTTCAATGAGTAGTTTGGGTTAATTCAAAATTCCCTCCCCCCCCCGCCCCCCCCGCTCCCCGTATTCTTCATGCAGGTTTATTTCACCGTTCAGTTATTAAGAATTCAAGTTGTAAAATACGCAAGTCGTTAAAAAAATTATTACAAACCACTTTATGACAGTGTTTGAGAAGGGTCGGGGGTGGGAGCCCCGGGTCAGGCCGGCTGCGCTTCACTCTCTGTGACGGTAAATCAGCGTTAAAAAGAAAAGACAAAAACCCAGGATGGGGTATTTACATGTCTTGGTAACACCAAGAGTGAAACCAGCTGCAGAGCAAACGGCTTCATCCATCCTTCATCCTAAAGCTACACAAGCTGTAGTAAAAAGATCAAAATTGGAGGGTTAGGGGGGGCCAAAAGCCACCGTGGGAGGGCTGGGACCATCTACGCTACTCGTGGCGTATAAACATTCCCAGATGCCAAAGGTTTTGAGTCCAGTGTAAGAACAACTGGTCTTCTCTGTAGAAGACTAGAAAAAGAGTATGAAAAGGTAGAAAAACCAAAAAGCACTTGTTACGGGCTAGAAAGAGTCACCAAAAGGTACCTAAAGACTAATGCCCTCTGGAATCCACAGGGATTAAGCTGATACCTGGTTCAGAACTAGTTTAGTAAGGTCACCACAGATCCCCCAAGGCCCCATGAGACACCCACCTAGTTATTCCCAAAGTTATGATTCCCAAAGTTTCCCAGGAGTGTAGAAGAGCAGGGGAAGCCAGGAGGGGTTTAGCAGCGGAAAGGAGAGACAAGCCACATCCTTGGAAGTGTGAACCCGAGGCAGAGCCCAAAAAGGTGGCGTGTGTCCCCCGAGAGCGGATGAACCAGAGCTGGGAATAATTCCCCAGCCTGCCAGGGAGCTCAGGCTGTGTGTAAACAGGGTATCAGGCACCTCCATGAAGGGGTGGGCCCACAGCTCCCCAAGCTGCTCCCCTGCCCCTTCCCAACGTGGTGAGGCAGGAATGGGATTTGGTGGGTGTGGGAAAGGGGCAGAAGCATCCCACCAAAAAGCAGTATCCCACAATCGGACAGCATCCCACGGTGGGGCAGCATCCCATGGTGGGGCAGCATCCCACAGTGGGGCAGCATCCCACCATGGGGCAGAATCCCATGGTGGGGCAGCATCCCACCATGGGGCAGCATCCCACGGTGGGGCAGCATTCCATGGTGGGGTGCCATCCCCCCATGAAGCAGCATCCCACCATGGGGCAGCATCCTATTGTGGGGCAGCATGCCATGGTGGGGTGCCATCCCAGCACGAAGCAGCATCCCACCACGGGGCAGCATTCCACCATGAAGCATCATTCCACCATGAAGCAACACCCCAGGGTGGATCAGCATCCCACCACGCAGCAGCATCCCACGGTGGAGCAGCATCCCACCACGCAGCAGCATCCCACCACAAAGCAGCATTCCAGACCAGCCCCAAGGGAAGGAGGTACTACCAGGAAGCCAAAGAGCAGGACCAAGCGAGGAGGGCAGAGGCACAGAGGTGTAGGAGAAAGGAAAGACCCGGAAAGGAGTGGTTGACTTTGACTTTCGGATTTTTAGCTACCCCACAACGCCTGGGGCAGGGGCCACCCCGAGCCCCTTCACCCGGGTTCTGGCACCTGCCCTATCGCAGGAGGTATTTCAGGCACGTCTAAGGCATCACAGGAGTTCTCTCTGCTTTCAGAATCGCCTCAGTCTCCTCCCTACAGCTCCTTCCACCAGCCAAACAACAGAAAAGAAAAGCCTGGAGCGGATGAACGGACACAAACTCTCATGCACTACCACCGAACGTCGTCACAGGAGTATGAAGCACCAACCACGACACATGAATCACTTTTACTTGCAGAACCAAAGCTAACCATATACAAAATGGTAAAAAAGTGGGGTTTGCCAGGAACACGGAGCTGCCAGCACGGGGGGGACAGGCAGGAGCTGCCGGTGTCCCCCCCAAACCCACCGTGGGGCCACTCAACCCCCCTGCTGTGCTACCACCAGAAATTAAAAAGCACAAGACCAAACATTGAGCAACATCATAAGTCACCTAACCTGTTGCTATATATCTGACAACTTAAATAAAAAATATTAGTTTGGAAAGAAACCAACAATATCATTCCAAGAAGGTTGCACACATCCTTAGCAGTTACTTTGCTCAGCACAGCTCTGGTGCTTTGAATATGGAACAATCAAACAATTTTTGTGAGCAGAAAAGTGACACATATTTATTCTTTACATATTTTTTTTTTCTCTCTTTCTAGGCAACTCTACAGACTTCAGATCTTTTGCCTCACAATGCAGATCATCTTATTCCCCCAAAAGGTGGCCAGGTTCTTTAAAACATGCACATCTCTGTAGCTTCCAGGCCGTGTATTTTACTTATTTTTGTTTAAATTCTGCGGACTAGCAGGTCGTCCCCATTCCTAAAAACTCTACATCAGTGTTCAGGGTGGCCTGAGTGCCCGTCAGGCTCCTCAAGGGTTTACAGGATCACACAGAAGAACTTCTTCTCTCTAAAGGGGTTTTCTGAGGCCGGGACGGGGGTCAATAGAGGGTCCTCCTTGGCGTGGGCTTCGCAGTACGCCATCAGGTCTGCTGCTGCTTTGGACACCTGCAAAGGAAGGAGCCCTGCGTTAGGGACAGGCCGTGCTGGGAAAATCCCACCTGGAAAAAGATCCTGCCAGCAGGGCTGGGCAGGAAACATCAGACCCTCGACAAGAACCTGACCAATGACCTGACAGCACATCCTCGGTGGGGCTGGTTCTTCACCTCTGTGCTCAGGGCTGGTTCTTCACCTCTGGGCTCTAAGCTCACGATCCCAAAAGCATCCTTCACGTCCTTTATCCATTCACATCCTTCACCCATTCCCATCCTTCACCCAACCTGACCACAGCAAGGTCTGCCTCTAGCATCCCTGCATCCCTGCTGGCTCTCCCCCAAAACCCTCAGCAGGGACATCCGCGGCTGCTACAGCAACATTTGCTGCACTCAGCCACCAACCTCATTATTTATTCTGGACATGGCAGCAGCTCCCAAGCCACTGGAGCTCAGCCACACCCCAAAAGGTGAGGTGTTGCTTGCACCCAGACGTGCCTGCAGCCAGCAGCTGCCACTGCAGCACTTCTCTCCCTAGATTTAACCTCTTCCCGAGGAGGTGAGATGCCTTGGGAACAGTCAGTCCTTCCCACCCACCCAGCAGGGCTCCAGGTGATGCTTCCAGCTGCTAGGAATGCTAGGAGTGCTCGATGGGGCTTGGAGCAACCTGGTCTAGTGGAAGGTGTCCCTGCCCATGGCAAGGGGTTGGAACAAGATGATCTTTAAGGTCCCTTCCAACCCAAACCAGTCTGTGATTCTATAATTCCATGGGCAAGCACCTCCCTGCCTCACTGCCCTCAGCCACGGCCATCGGGATCACTTGGAAGAACATCTGCCATAAACACCACCCAGCACCACATCCCAGCTCCCACCACGTGCTTTGGGCAGCTGCTCAGCAGCAGCCACTGCCTCAGAGCATTCCCCAGCCAGCTCCTGAGCCTCCCTACCTTTATCCTGTCGATGTTGGCTTCCATCTTCAGCTGCTCCACCAGCTTCCGTGCTTGCGCTATGCTGGCAGTGTTGTTGCTAGCCATGGGCAGGCCAGGCACGCTCCCCGGGGGGGCTGTGGGCATGAACACACGTGGATCAGCCTTTGGGCCCTGAAATTCCCCAAACTATGTGCTGGGGTTGCATATGGGGAGCGTTAGAGCCATCGGAATGAGGGTGTGAGGAAGGGGGATGCAGACCCCGGGCAGGGAGCTGCAGTGACCCGCTGCCAGTGGCCCTCTTCTGTGCCCTCCCCACGGTCCCCAGAGCCAAGCTTTGGGGCCACTGGGACCATCTGGAGCCCAGCCGAGCTGTCCTTTGGCATTTGCTGTTCCATGAAAGCCTGTGACAGCAACAAGGAAGTCAGAGAACAGGCTCCCCCCCGGCAGCCCAAAGTGCCTCGCCAGGCTCATTCCCTGCGCATCATCCAGCCCGTGCCGGTGCCCAGCGTGAGTCCGGTGTCCCTTGGCCTCCCTCGCTTTGTTCCTGCTGCCAATTTGAACACTGAGATGCTAAACAGGATGCTGGAGTTTCCTGTTTCTCGAGATTTCCACCCCAGGCAGGCGGGGGGGACGCTCATTAAGTCCCTGCCGGCTCTATCACGGATGTTTTTCCGTCACCTTCTAACAGCAGTGAGCTCCGGCCAGAGTTCCAGCATCCCACTCCCCCGGCAGCCCACGCTTTTACAAGCAGCAAGTATTTTCCAGCAGAGGCACAGCTGTGCTCCTGCCTGACTGGGGCTCACTGCCAGCTCCAAAATGTTGGGGTTTTTTGGGATGTCCCGCAACAGCAGGGCTCAGCGAGACCCCCGAGTGGGGGGGGACAAGGATGGCACAGCCCTAAAATAAGGGGATCGTGATGTTTTAAGGAAAAGCTGAGGGCATGTCCAGCTCAAGCCCATTATAAGGGTGTTTGGACAAGGCTTATCCTGGGACTTAGAGAAAAAATCAACCTGGCACTGGTGCCTGTGCTCAAAGAGCGAGTCGTGCCGGGGTTTGAGGATGAGACCCCTCCCCAGCCCCCTGCGCCCGGTGGGGACCCCAAAGAGGTTAATTTTTTTACCAGAAGCCGGTTTCTCCGCTGATCTGTGCCTCTAGGGGAAGATCTGCTCCTCTTGGCCGCTCACCACCTTCAAGCAAAGGGAATATGGAGTCAAAAGGAGCCGGGTTAGGTGGCAGTGATGCCACTCAGCTCCATATTTACGGCGCCAGGAGCCCCGGCGCTCCCGCAGACGCCGAGCTCCGTGCCTGGCACAGAGGCTGTGGCTTTCCTTCCGTGTGCCCCCCCCGCCCCGTGCCGTGCGAGCACGGCCCCCAGCGGCATCATTTGTTTGCATTCGGCGAGGTTTTCGGCACAGGAAGAGGTTTCAAGCCAGTGGGCGAGCATCCGAGGGCTGCTGGCAGCCAAGGCTCGTGGCTGCTCCCCAGCTCGCAGGACGGAGGATGCTCGGGGAGAGGGGATGGATTTAACCGTCTGGTGCACAGAGCACGTGGCAGGACGGAAGGAGCATCCCCCCGGGGAATGCTGCCAAAATCCCCCAGCTCCCGACAGCCCGGGCTCCCGGCTGGATCTGCTCTGCCCAGGCAAATCTCTGCGCCTTCGCTGGGGGTTTAGCTCGAGCCTGTGCGCTGTTTCCGCGCTGGTTTATCTCATCTCTCCCGCCTTTTTTTTTTTTTTTTGTGTGTGTGTGTGTTGGTTTTTTTTGGCTGGAGAGGAGTTTGAGCAGCAGGGTACAAGGGTACAACTCTCCTGCTTTTCCTTCCAGTTCTCCCTCTGCAAAGCCATGGAGTGGATGGCGGTGTGCCGTGGTTCTGGCACTGGGCTGGTGGGGCGAGGACACCACCAACCAAGATGCTGTCGTGTGGTTTGGATGCCACAGGGACTTTTCTAATGCAGCAAATGTTAATCTGGTGGAATTATCATCTCTGGAAGTGTTCAAAAGACGTGTGGATGTGGCACCTGGGGACAGGGGTTAGTGGTGGGCTTGGCAGTGCTGGGGGAATTGTTGGACTCTGTGATCTTAGAAGGATTTTTCAACCTAAACAATTCTATGTCGTGTCCTTTCATACAGAGGACCTATTGCTGCTCCAATGGCAGGGAGTCACTTCAGCAACTTCAGCCACTCCATGTTTAAGGTCATGGAAGAGGCATGGGAGCAGGGAGGACTGCTGGGAGCATCTGTACGGCTGCTACAGCCCTGATCTTAAAAAAATTATATATATACAACCCTGCTGCTACCCTCCTGCAAGGAAACCCTCCCTTCTCTTACTACATCCATCCCTGGGGGCACTTAAGTGTGGAAAATAGCCCCAAAAACAAAGCTAGGGAAGACCAAGATGGAGGAAGGGACATCTGTGTGAGCTGGGATGTCCCAGGGCTGCTGAGGTGACAGCTCAGACACCTTGTAGGACCCTCCCAGGGGCCACCACAAACCCCAGCCACGTTCTGCCCCTCTGCAGATGCTTCAACTAGAAACTAAAACCATTTTGGGGCCAGTGATGGTTTCAGAGCATTTCCACTCTGTGTGTTTCCTTCTGCATGAATAACAAAAACATGGCAGGTGATACTTCAGAGTGAGCTTGTGAATATCCTGCAACAAAAAACAACCTCACAACAGCAGTTCTCGAGTGGCAGCAAAGCTGCTCAAACAGGGCAGCCACAAAAGCAGGTTTTTTAATCCCAAACTGAGGACACCCCACTGTACCCCCGGGAGGGTGTGGAGCCACCAGGAGTAAACTCAACCGGGGGGGTTGAGTTGACAGGGGGGTCTTTTTGTTTGGGTTGGATTTATCAGAGAATCACAGGATGGTTTGGGTGGGAAGGGAGACTAAAGACCATCTCGTTCCATGCCCCTGCCATGGGCAGGGACACCTTTCACTAGACCAGCTTGCTCCAAGCCCCTTCCAACTTGGACTTGGGCACTTCCAGGGATCCAGGGGCAGCCACAGCTTCTCTGGGCAACCTGTGCCAGGTCCTCATCACCCTCACAGCCAACAATTCTTTCCCAGTATCCCATCTAACCCTACCCTCTGGCAGTGGGAAACCATTCCCCCTTGTCCTGTCACTCCACGCCCTTGTCCAAAATCCCTCTCCAGCTCTTTTGCATCCCTTTAAATGAATTCAACCCCTTCCACATGCTCTAAATAACCCATGACCCCTCTGCACAACAGACAAGTATCAAAACAACCTGCCAAGATCCCGAGTTGTTATTCCTGTGGCAGAGCCCAAAAGAGACAATATCCATGTACTGGACACGTTAAACATCATTAGCATGAAAATAATGAGTAAGGACTCATTAACCTGTGGGCTCCAAGGCACGAATCCCATTATCCAGGCACATGTGCCATTAAGCTAGGGGAAAAGCACACTGTCTGTATTCCTTTGTGAGCACCACAAAACTCTTTTCATTGCAGGCAAGGTTTAGCACAGCAGCAGAGGGTGTGAGATCAGCCAGTGACAATGGGGATATCAGGAAATACTGGGAAGCAGGGTGATTTTTAGCTTTATGGTTGGCATTTTCGCTCCAGCTTGAGGATTTACCTACTTTCCAAGGTGTAGCTGGGTTGGCTGCAATCAGTGGTAAGAAGGCACTGGGGGTTTGAAGGAGAGGAGGATGCTCCAGCAGGTTGGTTTGGATTAAATCTCTTCCCTGTGAGGGTGGGGAAGCCCTGGCAGAAGTTGCCCAGAGAAGCTGTGGCTGCCCCTGGATCCCTAGAAGTGTCCAAGGCCAGGCTGGTCAGGGCTTGGAGCAGTGGAATAGTGGAAGGTGTCCATGCCTGTGGCAGGGGAGTGTAATTAGATGGTCTATAAGGTTCCTTCCAACCCAAACCATTCTGTGATTCCATGATTCCACAAAAAGCCCTTGCAACAAATGCCTGGACTTGGATGTTTTGCTGCTAATTTTTACTAGTTGGCACCTAAGCTGCAAAAAAAATCTAATTTTTTGTTGTCTGTTGAATGAAGAGCCACTGACATATTTGAATAACATCTTCTTCTTTTACCTGCAGCACCCAGGCAAAACAGGCACCAAAAACTGGGATTTAGTTGGGAAAACAGCAAGGGAAACCCTTGATCCCAGGGCACTGATGCAGCATTTACAGCTGTGTCAGCCCTTGGTCTGCTCCACCCAGCTTTGCCAAAATCTTCAGCTTTTACCTGTGATGTGGAGCAACAAATGTGGATGTGGAGCAGTGAGTTGCTGCTCGATGGGATGAGATTGGGATTTAATGCGCTCTGAGCTTAAAGCCAACATTGCTTTGGACCAAGGAAGAACTAGTTCTCCTCAATCCCAGTAAATTAACCCCATCTACCTCGATTTTTGGATGCATTTCCACAGAAATTGCCACGTAAAACCCGAAAGAGCCGCTGCGAAAGGAGCATTTCTTGACGCCGAGCCCTCCTGCTGAGCTGCCATCCCACTCCTCCCTCCCAAACCGGGCTCCTGTGGGGCTCTGGCATCCCGGACCTGCCAACACTGCTTGAAACAGTAATTAGGCTTCGTTTGCCAGCTCCTCGTCAGCACAAGCTGCCGCCTGCTCCGCGCAGAGCTGTGCTGAAAGGCTGCGGAGCAAGGGCTTGGGAAGAGAGGATCCTGGAATCCGAGTGCCTTGTACCAGCTCCGTCGCCAGCTCCAGCTCCAAACCCAGGAAATCTGAGCCCAACCTCCCCCCTAAGCAGTTTACCCCCCTGTTCACTTGGGGCTTATCCAACTTGCATGTGGGTGGAGATCAGAATTCTCACAAATGTTTAAAAAAATGGCACTTCCCCCCCTCTGGAAGTGCTGAAGGCCAGGTTGGAATAGGCTTGGAGCAACCTGGGAGAGTGGAAGGTATCCCTGCCCATGGCAGGGGGTTGGAACGAGGTGAACTTTAAGGCCCCTTCCAGCTCAAACCATTCCATGATTCTATGATTTTAAGGGTGATTAATTAGTGCAATTACCCTAAATAGGACACCAGCATCCTTGGAAAGCATTTCCTTACATTCCTGAAGGTGCGAAAGGGCATCAAGTGAGATTTCATGGATGTCACAAGACACCTCCTGTGTCTCCCGGGGTCTGAAGTGTTTACCCACTCATCTGCGATCCTCTGCAGTTTTAAACCTGTGGAAAACACCCTCTCCTGTCTCTCAGCTGGAATTGGAATAGGCAGGAACAGGCACTGGAACAGGCTGCCCAGGGCAGTGGTGGATTCACCATCCCTGGAGGGATTGAAAAGCCCTGTGGATGTGGCACTTGGGGACATGGGTCAGTGGTGGCCTTGGCAGAGCTGGGGGAACGGTTGGACTCGTCGGTCCTTTTCTAACCTAAACAATTCTATGATTCAATTCTCCAGACCTTTTTCATCTCCCAGTGAGTGTTTTCTCAGCTCTCTCCCACCACACCTCCCAGCTGAACCGAAAGGAAAAGCAGGAATGAAACAGAAAGCGCTGCCAGAGAGAAACCTCCCTGTTCCCTCGCCACAGAGACCAAAAGCAGCATCACCCACCACCCAGGACAGCCCCTTTTTGGGGTGAAAGCAGCAGCTTCCCTGCTCCATGATTTCAATAAAAAGTCATATTTTCCATCCCTGATGCACCAGTGTTTTTCACCCAGTTAATAGTAAAGTGAGTGAATCCCATTGGGGCAGCCAGGATTTGGGGAGAGAAGGGATCAGGTTTGTTCCTACCAGGCAGGGCAGCACCCAGGACTTTTTTGGTCCAGAGGAGGGTTTTTTTGTTCTGCAAATGTTTTTTTTTTTTTGGTCCAGAAAAGGTGCCAAGCTGGGTATTGTAACAGAGGGATTTATCCGAGCTCTCATTCATGCTCGGATTTCTCCTGCTTCCTGTGCTTCCCAGCAGCTGAGCCCATCCCAGCTCACTGCATCCCCCCCCTTGAGGCAAGCAGGCTCTCCCAAAAACTGCCTTTTCCTCCCCAAAAACTGCCTTTTTCTCCCCAAAACCAGCCATGACACAGCATCCAGGAGGGATAACCGAGCATATGGAGGTGCCATCTCCTCCCCGGAGCCGGCGCTGCTGGTCACCGGCCGGCTGGAGCGTGGGAATCCCTCCTGAGGGGCCGCCTGGCTCTGCCAGGCATCTTGTTGCTTTTCCTAAAAGCCACAAGCTAAAAATAGGCGGCTCAGCTGAAAAAAA